TAGTACCATTATCCGGATGAAAAGCTCGTCACACACACACACACACACACACTCACCAGGCTGGGCAGCTCGCAGCATTTGTCCCGTTGAGCCCATGACGTGCTGCAGACAATATCAAAGGACTGCAGCTGAAACTAAACATACACACAGATGTGAGGCGTGTTATTCTAACTCTGAACCACATTTATGCATGTATTTCACATTGATCTCACACACACACGGTACCGGTGCAGAGTTGTCTTTGGATCCTCTGGATCGCACCATCCGTCCCAGAACCTCCACGCCATCAGTGCTGATGTTTTTGGCCGCATTAACAGGCTTCTCTCCCGCCGGTTTACAGTCGACCATCACAAGAGCCGACGTCTTACTGACGGCGATGTGCAGCTGCGCTCACACACACACACACACACACACACACACATTAGACAACAGCACATTCACTGCTGGACCGGATAGCATCTCCTGCGGCTGTGACCTCTGACCTTATGAAAACTGCCTTAGAAGAGCTTCTGGATGTCCGGCCCCTCAAACGTCACCGTCTGAAAATCACCATTATAATCAGTGTTGAAGTAAGTCAGCGTCTTTCCTGGATCTGTGAAGTGAAACGAGAAGACGAGACATTTATCTTTAGAAGCATATTTTTATATTCATGCATCCAGCAGACGCTCTTACAACTGCATAATAATGGTCAAATGTTAACCACGATTAGTTTACACAAAAAAATAAAATCACGGTTATGTTTGCTGATGTTTTCAGCTCATCAGTGCTTTTTCCTCAGAGAGAGCACATGTGAATGGTTGCCAGGTTGGGAAGATTAAGTAAACCACTGGACAGAAAATTTATTGATTTATGAAAAAAGCTCTGACTGGGGGATTTAATTTCTTGACATCTGGCAACTGCAACCATGAATGCCTGTGGAAGCTTGTTACCAAAGCAAGATAACGCAAATGCCAAATTAAAAACGTTTCAGTATAAATAAGCAGCAGGCAATTATGCTTAATAAAATGAGAGAAACAGAAAACCTGATGACAATTACATTATGATTCAACGTGCAGCACTAAGTCAAGGTAAACATGTGAGAATCGAACCCGTGAGCTGCAGAACTGTGACGCGGCGGTGTTACTCACTGTCCAGAATGACTCCCACCAGCGGCTCGTTGTTGCTGTTGAGGACTTCCCACAATGCAAAGGGCTCCTGTGGCGTCTCGGGGAGCAGGCGGAAGACCATGGTGATGGTGTAGTCTGACGGCAGCCCCTCCGGATGGATGAACCTGCGCCATCAGAGTTCAGGCTGATTTCATTTCAATATCTCCAGCTCTGTGTGCGCATGTGTGATTTCATGCTTTACAAACGACTTGAAAATAAAACGTGCATGTCACATCTCAAATCAAGCTCCTCCTAGAGTGACTCCACTACACTTCATTCCATTGACTTCCATTCAGTCGGAAACACAAGCTCAAGTGAATTTTTACTGCGTTCCAAAGTTCAAGTTTGGTGAACTCTGACGTCTAATCCATAACACGTGAAGACGTGAGAGACCCCTCAGCTGAATTAAAAGAATACTTTACACAACTTTAATTCTGCAGGATTGTAGTAAAGTGGAGTAATTGTGATATTTTTACATGTTCAGGGTTTGTGCAGGTTTTATGAAGGTTAATGTTAGACTAACACCGTCTCCTAACCAGATTCCAGCGACAAGCAGTTTGTCTGTGTGCACCAGACTCAACAAAATCAATCAAGAATCACAGCCAATCAGGAGAGCGTGTGGGCGGAGCCTCTCTGCAAGCGCACTACACTCGCAAAAAATAATCTAACTCATAAATATTACACTATTTTAAAATGATTTAAAATACATTCTGAGAGTCTCTGTCATACCGGTTCAGAGTTGTCTTTGGATCCTCTGGATCGCACCATCCGTCCCAGAACCTCCACGCCATCAGTGCTGATGTTTTTGGCCGCATTAACAGGCTTCTCTCCCGCCGGTTTACAGTCGACCATCACAAGAGCCGACGTCTTACTGACGGCGATGTGCAGCTGCGCTCACACACACACACACACACACACACACACATTAGACAACAGCACATTCACTGCTGGACCAGACAGGATCTCCTGCGGCTGTGACCTCTGACCTTATGAAAACTGCCATAGAAGAGCTTCTGGATGTCCGGCCCCTCAAACGTCACCGTCTGAAAATCACCATTATAATCAGTGTTGAAGTAAGTCAGTGTCTTTCCTGGATCTGTGAAGTGAAACGAGAAGACGAGACATTTATCTTTAGAAGCATATTTTTATATTCATGCATCCAGCAGACGCTCTTACAACTGCATAATAATGGTCAAATGTTAACCACGATTAGTTTACACAAAAAAATAAAATCACGGTTATGTTTGCTGATGTTTTCAGCTCATCAGTGCTTTTTCCTCAGAGAGAGCACATGTGAATGGTTGCCAGGTTGGGAAGATTAAGTAAACCACTGGACAGAAAATTTATTGATTTATGAAAAAAGCTCTGACTGGGGGATTTAATTTCTTGACATCTGGCAACTGCAACCATGAATGCCTGTGGAAGCTTGTTACCAAAGCAAGATAACGCAAATGCCAAATTAAAAACGTTTCAGTATAAATAAGCAGCAGGCAATTATGCTTAATAAAATGAGAGAAACAGAAAACCTGATGACAATTACATTATGATTCAACGTGCAGCACTAGAAAATAAAACGTGTGTGTCACATCTCAAATCAAGCTCCTCCTAGAGTGACTCCACTACACTTCATTCCATTGACTTCCATTCAGTCGGAAACACAAGCTCAAGTGAATTTTTACTGCGTTCCAAAGTTCAAGTTTGGTGAACTCTGACGTCTAATCCATAACACGTGAAGACGTGAGAGACCCCTCAGCTGAATTAAAAGAATACTTTACACAACTTTAATTCTGCAGGATTGTAGTAAAGTGGAGTAATTGTGATATTTTTACATGTTCAGGGTTTGTGCAGGTTTTATGAAGGTTAATGTTAGACTAACACCGTCTCCTAACCAGATTCCAGCGACAAGCAGTTTGTCTGTGTGCACCAGACTCAACAAAATCAATCAAGAATCACAGCCAATCAGGAGAGCGTGTGGGCGGAGCCTCTCTGCAAGCGCACTACACTCGCAAAAAATAATCTAACTCATAAATATTACACTATTTTAAAATGATTTAAAATACATTCTGAGAGTCTCTGTCATGGAATACACTTGAGTTTCTGAGGTGAACTATCTGTTGTTGCTTTCAGTATGGCTATAAAGGTCACTCAAAATGATATTCAAACTCACATTAGACACTTTTAACATTGAATAAAGCACATGATCTGAGTACCTGAGATTATCACTGTCAGTTTGTATGTTGATTTTTCAGCCGTGATGTCGCAGAAATAGAAACGTTTCTAAAATAGAATCCGCTGTCGCTCATTGTGCATCGCTCTCGCGTCTGGTTAGGACAAAAACTCAGATTAACATGAGAAAAGGTACCTTTCATTATGTGTCACGGAGTCATGCTGCATCTGCAAACGCACGCAAGGCTGCTGGCCCCGACGGCATTCCTGGACGTATGCTTAGGGCATGTGCAGAGCAGCTCGCAGGGGTCTTCACAGACATTTTCAACCTGTCTCTCACCCAAGCAACTGTGCCAACATGCTTTAAGTCCACATCCATTGTGCCAGTGCCGAAACACTCCTCCCCGACGTGCCTGAATGACTACCGCCCCGTAGCACTCACACCTATTGTTATGAAGTGCTTTGAGCGACTGGTCCTAGCTCACCTTAAGAACTGCCTCACATCCACACTGGACCCACACCAATTTGCCTACCGTAGCAATAGGAGCACAGAGGATGCAGTATGCACAGTGCTGCACTCGGTACTCACACACTTGGGACAATAACAACACATATGTACGGACGTTGTTTGTTGAGTTCAGCTCAGCATTTAACACTGTCATTCCCTCCAAGCTGACCACTAAACTTGGAGACCTGGGCATTAACCCCTCCCTCTGCAACTGGATTATGGAATTTCTGACCAACAGGCCTCAGCATGTTAGGTCAGGCCACACCTGCTCCACCACCATCACACTCAACACCGGCGTACCACAGGGCTGTGTGCTGAGCCCATTCCTCTTCTCCCTCTACACCCACGACTGCAGGCCTATGCATGGATCCAACTCCATCATCAAGTTTGCAGATGACACCACAGTGATTGGCCTCATCAGAGACAACGATGAGACTGCCTACAGAGAGGAGGTACAGCACACCTGGCCGCATGGTGCGCTGACAACAACCTGCTCCTTTACACCAGTAAGACAAAGGAGCTTATTGTGGACTTCAGGAAGAAGAAGAAGCACGCATGACCCCATCCACATTAACGGGACGGTTGTTGAACGTGTCTCCAGCTTCAAGTTCCTGGGAACCCACATCTCAGAGGACCTGTCCTGGACCATAAAACACCTCCAGCCTGGTCAAGAAGGCTCACCAGCACCTCTTCTTCCTTAGGACACTGAAGAAGAACCAGTTGTCTTCAGCCATCCTGGTGAATTTCTACCGATGTGCGATCGAGAACATCCTGACCAGTTGTATCACAGTCTGGTATGGGAACTGCTCAATTGCTAACCGCAAGGCACTGCAGAGGGTGGTGAAAACCACCCAATGCATCACAGGGAAACCACTTCCTGCTACTGAGGACATCCAGAGGAAACGCTGTCTACGTCGAGCTTGCAGCATTCTTAAGGACTTCTTTCACCCTGACCATAGACTGTTTAACCTTCTGCCCTCCAGGAGGCGCTTCAGGAGCCTCCGGACAAGGACCAGCAGACTCAGGAACAGCTTTTTCCATACAGCTGTCTCCTTACTGAATTCTGCCCGCTGACACACCCCCCACACACACACACACACACCACTACACACTCCTCACCACACCTGGTTTAAAAAAAATGCAGACTTAGGAACAGCTTTTTCCCTACAGCTGTCTCCTTACTGAATTCTGCCCGCTGATCACCACTACACTACACACTCCTCAACACTACATCTGGTTTACAAAAAAAAAAAAAAAAACTGTTACACTTGTTATTACTTGCACTACTGTCTGTACATCCAGAATACTGAAATGATCCATTTGCACACTGGAATATTTTCTATGCACTTTTTTTTAATGTCCATTGCACTAGAGTTTTGCACAGCTTATACATATTAATTTGTAAATGATGTCCATATGTTCATAGTTTCTGCTTATAGTGTACATACACTTATTACATAATCCATCTGTATAGTATGTTCATAGTACACCTATCTGTATATCATGCTGATAGTATTTAAAAATCTGTAAATTATGTCCATATTACTGCCTTATCTGTATATTTATTGTACATTTGTAACATTGTAGACACTGTATATCCTGTACTTACTGCTTATTGCACTTCTGGTTAGATGCTAACTGCATTTCATTGCCTTGTACCTTACATGTGCAATGACAATAAAGTTTAATCTAATCTAATCTAATATAATCTAATCTAATCCGGTTAGGACACGGTGAAAGACCAGGTAAAGAAAATGTAAGGAATGAATTGAAGATTTGAGACATCCATTTCTTTGCATTGATGCAACATTTAATGTCATGACTTTAATTTAAATTGAATTTAAATTTAAGACTTTCTGATCTGATTTAAAACCTTCTAAGGCATTAATATGTGGAAGGATGAATTAAGACTTCATTTAATACCTGCAGAAACCCTGATTTTGGATGTATTATATGTTGATTATGTTTTTAAAAAGACGTGGCCGTTGCAGTGTCTGTAGAAATTTCACATGCTCAGAGTCTGGTGTGACTGTGGCGTGACTCTAAACCCGCATTCACTAGTCCACATGTGCAGCGGGAATCAGACGTCAGACGTGTGCATCACCTGGTGGGCTGCGTGACGAGTGCGTCGCTGCCGAGTCTGAAGCTGCTGTAGCTGTTGAAGGTCCCCGGCTCCATGGACACACCGCTCACACTGCTGTACATATGCTCCACCAGCCCGAACGTCTCCATCATCCTGAACCCTGACACACAGCAGCAGCACAGAAAATACTTCTCATGATCAGTCAACCACAGCAATCACCTCTTCAGCAGCATCCAGTCATATGGAGATGATGCCACATAAACATCAACCCATTATTAAGTGCATTACAGTGGCCACAACACCCACACAATTTGAACTCTGGGTAAAATGCAGCACTCATCACTGTTTACCCCGGCGTCCAATCACAGTGGAGGGGCGGGAAAAATATCACCCGCCGTCACATTCTACTTGTACGACTGAATGATAATAATGCAGAAGGGGCAAATATGGCTGGTCTCCAAATATCCATGCCTAATAACCATACCTGTCAACATTTGGGTACCAAAATACGGGAAAGAAGGGTGGGGGGTGGGG